AAGCACACAGCCTGTTAGTGAAACATTCTTAGGCTTTCCAGACTCAGACCAGCCTCCAGCTGAATACCAATTAGTGACCCCAGTCAATATAGCATGGAGAGCAGAAGAATTCCCCCAACTCAGTCTTGCCCAAGTTCCTGACCCACACAATTGTGAACAATAATTGTGGTTTCAAGCCATTGCATTTTGGATCATTTATTTATGCAGCAACAAATAGCTGGAACAATCATGCAGGCCACCCAGGAAGTATGCAGAGAATTGAGATATCATCATGGTGCATGTTGATGGAGCCCATTTGTGGGGATTACAACGTAGGAAAAAAAAACCCAGGAAGAGGGATTCCTCTAAACATTTCCCTTCTCTCCAGGGAAGAGTCACAGACACCAAAATTGGAGGAGACTAGCATCCAGGTTACACACATCTGCCTAAGTCTGTGCTTTTTGCTAAGTTTCAGCCTCTCTACAACTAGACTTCAAGTGGATAGACTCTGGCAGTCCATCATACTGTGCAGGTCTGAATCTTGCTGGTACATACAGCCCATGCTTAAGCCAGGATCTGCCGTCAAAACAGTACCTCTTCCAAGAACAAAGGTCTATTAAGAAAAAGAAAAGAGTATCTTACTTGTACCCAAGTCAGCATCTCTGATCTGTCAAATGCTCCATCTCCATTATGATGAATCAAATGACTCCACCATTAACATGGTGACAAAGGAGTGTGGGTGACATTGGTCACCCATCAAATGTAAACCTGATCTATATCACAATTGTCTTTGGCTGGGAATATTCACCATAATAATTCTCATAACAAGTACAGCTATAGTTTGGGGGAAAGAAAAGAACAGTGGAATGCAGCTTTGTAGATAAGAATACAAAACATTTTAACAAAAATTTACCAGCTCTTCAAGCCTCAATATATCTCACACAGACAGTAAAATAAACACAATCAGCCTTATTTACTCAGCGTGAATGACTCCTGGCTCTGGCACCATGGCTATTCAGTTGAGTTAAGTTGGCTTTAGCTGGTCATGTCTGCCAGGTTGTCTTCTGAAGGTAATGGCTTATAAAACTGCATGGAAAAATCTTAAGAAGTAGCCTTATTTTTAAGGCAATAATCTTCACTAAGAAATACTGTGTTAAATTGATTAATGTAGTAAACTCAACTTAAGGATTTTATCATTTCTTCTTCTATTGTTAGGAAATGTAGCATGAAACTGAATTTTCTCTCCATTATTATTATTTTTTTTTTTTGACAGAGTCTTGCTCTGTTGCCGAGGCTGGAGTCCTGCAGCATAATCTAGGCTCACTGAAACTTCTGCCCCCTGGGTTCAAGGGATTCCTGTGCCTCAGCCTTCCGAGTAGCTGGGACTTCAGGTGTGCACCACCACACCTGGCTAACTTTTTGTATTTTTAGTAGAGGCAGTGTTTCTCCATGTTGGTCAGGCTGGTCTCAAACTCCTGACCTGAAGTGATCTGTCTGCTTAAGCCTCCCAAAGTGCTGGGATTACAGGTATGAGCCATCATGCCAGGCTTCCATTAATTGTTTGAAGTTTATTTTTGGCGACTTTTTCTGTACTGAATGGTAACATTTTGACACAAAGGATTTCTGGATGGAAAGCAAAACAAACAAACAAAAACTCAACTTGTTTAATTTCCCCAGAAACGGTCTCAAATCACCTTTGCTATGCTCTTCTGTGTGGTAGGAATGTTCTGGGTGTGTCTGCTCTTAGAGAAGGTTAAAAGTGAGATGGTAGAGAAAACATTAGAAAACAAACCAATCAAGCAGGGCGCAGTGGCTCATGCCTGTAATCCCAGCACTTTGGGACACCAAGGCAGGTGCAGCACCTGAGGTCAGGAGTTCAAGACCAGCCTGACCAACACAGCAAAACCCCATCTCTACTAAAAATACAAAATTAGCCGGGCATCGTGGCACATGCCTGTAATCCCAGCTACTTGGGAGGCTGAGGCAGGAGAATCTCTTGAACTCAGGAGGCAGGGGTTGCGGTGAGCCAAGATTGTGCTATTGCCTCTCAAAAAATAAATAAATAAATAAACCAATCAATAACAATAGGAGAAAAATAATATTGATACTTAGTTAAATTAAACCGATTTCAAACGTTATTTTGTTTAGTTCACATATTGACATACCACATATTGGAGCAAAGGCAAAACTTAAAATTTACCTAACAGAAATAAATCTCTAACAACCCTTATAAATACTTGGAAATGATTGTGAGATTCTTCAGAAACCTGGAAATGTAGGAATAAAATCGTTCTCTTGTTGTTCAAATGTAAAATCAACACATAACGAATTTGAGTAAAGACACGAGCTTTTATATATTCATTTATTTACTATTTGAGATGGAGTTTCACTCTTGTTGCCCAGGCTGGAGTGCAATGATGTGATCTCAGCTCACTGCAACCTCTGCCTCCTGGGTTCAAGCAATTCTCCCGCCTCAGCCTCCTGAGTAGCTGGGATTGCAGGTGCCTGCCACCACACCTGGCTAATTTTTTTTTTTTTTTTTTTGATACAGAGTTCTGCTCTTGTTACCCAGGCTGGAGCGCAATGGCATGATCTCGGCTCATCACAACCTCCGCCTCCTGGGTTCAGGCAGTTCTCCTGCCTCAGTCTCCTGAGCAGCTGGGATTACAGGCACGCGCCACCATGCCCAGCTAATTTTTTGTATTTTTAGTAGAGACGGGGTTTCACCATGTTGACCAGGATGGTCTCGATCCCTTGACCTCGTGATCCACCCACCTCGGCCTCCCAAAGTGCTGGGATTACAGGCACGAGCCACCGCGCCCAGCCTAATTTTTTATATTTTTAGTAGTGACGAGGTTTCACCATGTTGGCCAGGCTGGTCTCAAACTCCTTACCTCAGATGATCCACCTGCCTTGACTTCCCAAAGTGCTGGGATTACAGGCATGCGCCACCATGCCCAGCTATGAAGCTATGAACTATTCTTTTCTTTTCTTTTTTTTTTTTTTTTTATGGAGTCTTGCTCGGTCACCCAGGCTGGAGTGCAGTGGCGCAATCTTGGCTCACTGCAACCTCGGCCTCCCAGGTTCAAGAGATTTTCCTGCCTCAGCCTCCCAATAGCTGGGACTACTGGTGCCCGCTCCCATGCCTGGCTAAGTTTTGTATTTTTAGTAGAGATGGGGTCTCACCATGTTGGCCAGGCTGATCTCAAACTCCTAATCTCAGGTGATCCACCCACCTCGTCCTCCCAAAGTGCTGGGATTACAGGTGTGAACCACCGTGCCCAGCGTACTTTTCCTTTTTTTAAGAATAGGTTGTTCCACAAGCACTTTCTCACTTAGAGATAATAATAATAAAAAAAGAATAGGTTGGCCAGGTGCAGTGGCTCAGCCTGGGTGACAGGGCAAGATTCCATCTCAAAAAAAAAAAAAAAAAAAAAAAAAAAGGAAAAGTAGCACTTCACATCTAGAAGGACAGGATATTAATTAGACTGAATATATAAACATGTATAAAGAATGTGTCAATCAGAATAGTAAATGTTGGTGGATTGGTCATTTGTTCAGTGGGGAAATCCAGGAAAAGGCACATCACTGAGTAAATGTTGGCAATGACCTTCTAAACTTATGGGGGAATTTTGTGATGTGATTTCTATGCAGCCCTACCTAGGTGAGGTAAATGTGGTGATTATATGACCTTTAACTAGTCTGGCCTCTGTAATAGTTATTTCTCTTTCTCTCTCTCTTTTTTTTTTTTTTTTTGAGACGGAGTCTTACTCTGTCACCAGGCTGGAGTACAGTGGTGTAATCTCGGTTCACTGCAACCTCTGCCTCCCAGGTTCAAGTGATTTTCCTGCCTCAGCTTCCCAAGTAGCTGGGATTACAAATGTGCACCACTATGCCCAGCTAATTTTTTATAATATTTTTAGTAGAGAACAGGGTTTCACTATGGTGGCCAGGATGGTCTCGATCTCTTGACCTTGTGATCCACCTGCATTGGCCTCCCAAAGTGCTGGGATTACAGGCATGAGCCACTGCACCCGGCCAGTTATTTCTAATTATAAATTAGTAGATGGACTTTTGACTCAGAGAATGGAAGTACTCATCCTGTGGATGTCAGTGTTTTCATTGCTGTGACAACATTATCTCACTGTAAATTGATAAGCTGGTATGCTGTATAACAAGTCAGCCCATGGAGGTTGGTTATTACGGGGCAGATGAAAGAGGCATCTACTCTAGGAGTATTGACACAAACACTTCTGGATCTTCTGGGTTGAGGGAAGTCAGGTTCCAATGTGTGGTGATTTCTCAGGGAAGGTACCTCTGCCCTTTAATTTCTTTTTCCTTTTTTTTGAGACTGAGTCTTGCTCTATTGCCCAGGCTAGAGCGCAATGGAGTGATCTTGGCTCACTGCAATCTCTACCTCCTAGGTTCAAGCAATTATCCTGCCTCAGCCTCCCAAGTAGCTGGGACTACAGGTGTGTGCCACCATACCTGGCTAATTTTTTGTAGATAGGGTTTTGCCATGTTGGCCAGACTGGTCTCGAACTCCTGACTTCTTGATCTGCCCACCTCGGCCTCCCAAAGTGCTGGGATTACAGGTGTGAGCCACTGTGCCTGGACCCCTTTAATTTCTTTGGGAAACATTTCGCTGGCCTGTTTTCTGGTGATGAAAATAATAATGATACACTAGAAATATTTCTTTCTTTCTTTTTTTTTGAGATGGAGTTTCACTCTTGTTACCCAGGCTGGAGTGCAATGGTACAATCTCGGCTCTCCACAACCTCCGCCTCCTGGGTTCAAGCAATTCTCCTGCCTCAGCCTCCTGAGTAGCTGGGACTACAGGCACGCACCACCATGCCCAGCTAATTTTTGTATATTTAGTAGAGACGGGGTTTCACCTTGTTGACCAGGATGGTCTCGATCTCTTGACCTCGTGATCCACCTGCCTTGGCCTCCCAAAGTGCTGGGCTTATAGGCGTGAGCCACCGCACCTGGCCAGAAATATTAATTTCTATAATCTGAACACTAACTATATGGATAGAATGTCTATCTTCTGCTTCCTTTCTTTCTGTCTTAAAGATAGCATTATGTTGGGTTCCTTAGCAATAAGTATATGATCAGGATATAAACTTCATTTAACGCATGTGTATTTCAGTGTTGAACTCACCAATGGACATTTGATGACAGGATCCCAAAATTGCATAAATTACCGAAGAACAGAAAGCTGCATAACCGATGTTGAGAGGAGGAATCAGTTGTCTTGCCAGGAAACTAAGTGTCAGGCCTGAAAAGCAAGATAATTTAAGAAAAAGTAGCTTGGCTTTAAAAGTCACCTTAAATGAAAACTGTAAAGAACATTTAAAATAAAAACGATCCATGTGTGTAGCAGACCGAGTGTGGTCATTGGTTTTCTAAACATGGAGTCCTTCATTAGTACTTTTTATTGTCTTCTTTGATTCCTAGCTTATCTTCCTATTTTGCCACATGCTTTTACATTTCAATTCAATATCATAGGCTTAAACATCTTTCACTGCAGGTTCTTAATGTTAAACATGTGAAGCAAACACCAGAGCAGTAAGACCGCTAATTCCAACAGATCAAAAGCAGCACCATCCTTATTCCTAGTCTAGCACAAGAAGGCCCTGGGAATTCTCCAGGGCTGAAGATAAAACTGGAGAGCAAGGCAAGAATCACACTTCACTGACTTGAAGTTGGTTTGTGTTGGTTCTCTTCTATAGCCCAATCACTCCAACCTCTTCCTTCAGCTCCTTCTTTACTACTTACTTTCTTTTCTAAGAAGCACCATGTGAATTTGGAAATTCTGAAGCGAATGGACTCACAGGCATAGTGTCATCCTTTTGACGTTTCAAGCCCATACTTCCTTCCCTAAGGGTCTGTCCTCAATTTGCATCATACCAACATACTCATCTAAATTCAGTATGAATTTAGTGAGCCTATTTATTGTCTTAGATAAGCAAGGCTCCTTTTTATAAGACATTTCAAGCATATACAAAAATAGACTATAATGAATTCCATATCTACCCATCATCCACTTCAACAATGGTCAACCCATAACCAATCCATGTCTCCACTCCTCTCCCACCCTATATTACTTTGAAGCAAATCCAAGGCATTTGATTACTTAATCTGTAGATATTTTGGTATGTGTCTCTAAATGATAGTACTCTTCTAATTTAGCTGCAATCGCATCATTATCGACTCAGTGTTCAAATTTCCCTGATTATCTCACAAACGATTGTTGTTGTAGAGGGTCTCTAAGATGATCCACAATGGCCAATTGGTGTTCTTGCTCTTGCACAACTTCCTCCCCCTTAAGTGTGGAACCGACTTACTAACTTGTTTCTTTTTTTCTTTTTTTTTCCATCATATGTGCTGTGGCTTTGTTGTATACTAACTTGTTTCTTTTTTCCTTTTTTTTTCCATCATATGAGCTGTGGCTTTGTTGTATACTAACTTGTTTCTTTTTTTCTTTTTTTTTCCATCATATGCGCTGTGGCTTTGTTGTATACTAACTTGTTTCTTTTTCTTTTTTTTTCCATCATATGCGCTGTGGCTTTGTTGTATACTAACTTGTTTCTTTCTTTTTTTTTCCATCATATGCGCTGTGGCTTTGTTGTATACTAACTTGTTTCTTTTTCTTTTTTTTTCCATCATATGCGCTGTGGCTTTGTTGTATACTAACTTGTTTCTTTTTCTTTTTTTCCCCATCATATGCGCTGTGGCTTTGTTGTATACTAACTTGTTTCTTTCTTTTTTTCCCCATCATATGCGCTGTGGCTTTGTTGTATACTAACTTGTTTCTTTCTTTTTTTTTCCATCATATGCGCTGTGGCTTTGTTGTATAGTAACTTGTTTCTTTGTTTCTTTTTTTTTCCATCATATGCCTGTGGCTTTGTTGTATACTAACTTGTTTCTTTTTTTCTTTTTTTTTCCATCATATGCGCTGTGGCTTTGTTGTATACTAACTTGTTTCTAAGGAGTAGACTATAACAAAAATGACTGGATGACACTTCTGAGATTTGGTTGCAAAATAACTTTGGTTTCCATCTTGGTTTTTCTCTCATTCAAGTCACTACCTGACAGAGGTGGCTTCAAAGGTTTATAATCTATAAAGTCAAGACAGAGTCCTGGGCTCAGAAGGACTCTGCATTTGGTTTAATGCTTTGTTGTCACTGTCTTGAAATTCTGAATAATTATTGAACAAAGGGCCCTGTGTTTTCATTTTGAATTGGGCCCAACACACATAGTCGGTCCTGCCAGCTGCCATGTTATGAATATGGAGAAGCCAAAATGAGGAGGAACTCAGGCCTGCCAACAGCTGCGTGAGTGAGCCTGGAAGCAGGTCCTCCAGCCTCAGCAGAGCTCTGAGATAAACTGCCATCTCACAAGAGACCTTGAACCAGAGGTATGGTGAGTTTCGGGGTGGTCTTTAAAAAATTATTTGCTGTTACATGTTGTGCTTTGTTTTACAATCTGTGGGTTTAAATCAGGACCCAAATATGGTCCTCACGTTGGTTAACATGTCTCTTAAGTCTCTTGTAATCTGTAGAGTTTTTTCACCACATTTTTTTTTTCTCCAGGCAAGGCTCTACTGATTGCAAGAAAGAGAAAACCTACTCAAATTAGCTTAAGCAAAATAGGAAATTTATTTAAAAGGCTACAAAGGGCAGTTAGACCTCATCAAAGACTGGAACCAGAATTCAAAAGCCATCAGAATCCACGGTTTCTACTTCCCCATTCTCTTTGTCTCCAGGGTTCATGGTATCCTGTCTTTGTTACCAGTTTGGGGATATTGCGAACAATATTGCTATGAGTATTTTTTGTTTGTTTGTTTGTTTTGTTTTGTTTTTTGAGACGGAGTCTTGTTCTGTTGCCAGGCTGGAGTGCAGGGGCGCAATCTCAGCTCACTGAAACCTCCACCTCCTGGGTTCAAGAGATCCTCCTGCCTCAGCCTCCCAAGTAGCTGAGACTAGAGACACACGCCATCATGCCCAGCTAATAGTTTTGTAGTTTTGGTAGAGATGGGGTTTCATCATGTTGGCTAGGATGGTCTCGATCTCTTGACCTCGAGATCCACCTGCCTCGGCCTCCCAAAGTGCTGGGATTACAGGCGTGACCACCTCACCCAACCACTATGAATATTCTTGTACATGTTTCCTGGTACACAGATTTACAAGTTTCTCGAGAATACATAGCTTGAATTACAACTTCTGGGGCATTTACTGAATAATGCCAATCTGTTTTCCAAATGATTGTGGAATTTATACTCCTACCAACAATGTATAACAGTTCCCATTATCCACATCTATGCTAGCACATGATACTGCCAGATTTTTAATATTGGTGTGTATGGTGGTAACTTATTTCAATTTCATTTTCCACTTTATTTATTACTAATAATGTGGAACAACATTGTCTAGTTATTTTTTATGGATTTATAGGAGTATGTATATTATAAATAAATCCTTTTCTGTGTATTGTGTTGCAAGTATCTCCCATCCTGTGATTTGGTTTTCAATCTTTGGTTTTTTTGTTTTTTTTTTTCTTTTTTCTTGAGATGGCATCTTGCTCTGCCTCCCAGGCTGGAGTATAGTGGTGTGATCTTGGCTCTTTGCAACCTCCACCTTCTGATTCAAGTGATTCTCCTGCCTCAGCCTCCTGAGTAGCTGGGACTATAGGTCCACACCAACACGACTGGCTAATTTTTGTATTTTAGTAGAGATGGGGTTTTGCAATGTTGGCCAGGCTGGTCTCAAACCTCTGACCTCAAGTAATCCACCCACCTCAGCCTCTCAAAGTGCTGGGATTACAGTCATGAACCACCACACCCAGCCGCTTTTCAAACTTTATAGTGGCTTTCAATAGATAGAAGTTCTTAAATTGTGCTTAATTCAAGTTTATCAGTCTCTTCCCTTGGACTTTTCCTTTTGCTTTTTGTGTCTTGTTTAAGAAATCTTTTTCTACCTGAAGATCATAAAGATACTCACTTATGTTATTCCAAAATGTCTTTTTTGCTTTAACTTTTACATTAGGTCTTCAATCAACCAGGAATAGATTTTTGTGTATGGTGTGAGGAGGTCTGAAATGTTTTTTACATGTAAAGACCTTATTGTTTTACATCATTTGTCATTAAAAGCCTGTCTCTGGGCGGAGGGCAGTGGCTCACATCTGTGAGCCTGGCACTTTGGGAGGCCAAGGCGGGTAGATCACAAGGTCAGGTGTTCAAGACCAGCCTGGACGACATAGTGAAACCCCATCTCTACTAAAGATACAAAAAAAAAAAAAAGAAAGAAAGAAAGAAAAGAGCCGGGCGCGGTGGCTCATGCCTGTAATCCTAGCACTTTGGGAGTCTGAGGTGGGCGGATCATGAGGTCAAGAGACGGAGACCATCCTGGCCAACATGGTGAAACCCCATCTCTACTAAAAATACAAAAATTAGCCAAGCATGGTGGCACGTGGGAGGCTGAGGCGGAAGAATCGCTTGAACCCAGGAGGCAGAGATTTCAGTGAGCCAGGATTGTACCACTGCACTCCAGCCTGGCAACAGAGCAAGACTCTGTCTCAAAAAAAAAAAGAAAAAGAAAAGAAAAGAAGCCTGTCTCCCTAGTGACATATCTGATACACACTGCGTGATTCATATATGTGTCTCTTTTTTTCTGCTTCATTGGCCTAATTGCCTATCTCTGCAATATCATACTGTCTTAATTGCTCTAATTAGTTGAGTAATAGTCTTGGTAAATTAGTAATCTCCATTTTTATTGTGAAATATATTTGTAGAAAATGCGTTAAAATAGATTAATAGATGTCAAGCTTACTTAATGTTTATAAAACAAGCACCCATATAACTACCACCCAGGTCTTTGATTATAACTCTACCTCTCCCCACAGAAGGATTCATTATTTTGCCATTTATGGTAATAATTTCTTTGCTTTTCTTTACCAGTAGTGTACATATTCCTATACAATATAGTTTAATTTGTCCCCATTTTGAACTTTATATTAATAGTTACACTGTACACAATTTTATTTCTGCTTCTTTTTTTTTTTTTTTTTTTGAGACAGAGTCTTGTTCTGTTGCCCAGGCTGAAGTGCAGTGGTATAATCACAGCGATTCTCCTGCCTCAGCCTCTTGAGTAGCTGGGATTACAGGCGTGCACCACCACGCCTGGCTAAGTTTTATATTTTTAGTAGAGACAGCGATTCACCATGTTGGTCAGGCTGGTCTTGAGCTCCTGATCTTATGATCCGACCACCTCAGCCTCC